TCGTCGTTTCTCCAAAACTCGTCGTCCGGGTGAGATATATCGCTAAAGGTGCGAACTGCGATTTTGAACATATCACGAGCAGTGTCCCAAGAGTATGTGTAATAGTCCAGGGGCGAGATGACGATTGTTCCAAAGCTGAAGAATGAGTCAGAGTCTCTGGCGCGCTGATTCATCACAGGTTCGTTAATGCTGTCAACGTCGGGAACGAACCATGTCGCCAGGAACGAAGAAAGCAATACGATGATTGTGAACAGGACGACAGATGCGGTGCTAAGGATGACTTGGGGCGCATTAATTCATATCCCGGATAGGTGGAAATGAATTCGTACCTGGAGAGGTAGCCAGCCCAACCGCCCTCGTTCTCGCAAGGGCATATCGAAAACCACACTGAGGGCATGACCAGAACGCACTCGAGCTCTTCGACATTACTCGCCATTGCTTTAGGCAGTTCACGTGTACATACTAACCACCCTCGATCAGTATTCTCTTCGAACAACGTAAAAAAACCGCCAGCTCACCCGGATGGAGCCACGACACAGACAAGGGCTGATCAGCCGGCCAAGCTCGGGCTCATCTTCGGCACCTCCAAAGCATATCCGACACTGTTTTTCCTCGGGCGTTTTGACCCTCGGTGACTCGGACCGCCCTGGGCCCGGACTAGGAGGCTTTGCTGACTCGGAGGTCGATCCTGTGTCGGTTTCGTACCGCTCAGAGTCGCTATCGTGCGCCAATTGTTGAGCCGGCGTCGGGATCTGCGCTGCCGGGCTTGGGGCGATGACGGGCGCAACGTCAGTGGCAGGGTGTATTCTTGACCTAATGTGTGTGTCACCCGTAAATTGCTGGGCAACAGCTGAGCTTGACCCGGCCGGTTGTTCATCGTCAGAGGGCACCATCGTGACCTCAAACTAGAAAACTAGAGTAGAGTTATTGCAATAATTCGAGGTGAAGTGCGGGTCAGCAACGTGTGTTCGAATCGAAGAGCGTAATGGTTCTATCTAACCCCACACTGCTCAGGGTCCGCTGACGCAGAAACGCCCCAGGCCAGTGCTAGTACCTTACTCTTTTCACCTCCTAGTTCCCCCGCGCTCGAGTCAACATCGGCTTTGCTATACCCACGGCCTTTGTTTAAAAAGGCGCTAGCTCGCTCGTTTTCTCTCTTCACGGACCACCACCGCCAACTCACCCTATCCTGAGCATTTACCCAATGTCTGCTGACCTCAAGGCCCAGTCTGCTCTCGAGCATGAGCGCTGGCTTGCGAGGAAGGCTGGGGACCGCCAGAAGGGAAAACGCGTTCCGCGTTGCCCCTGCAACTGGTAAGCGCATCCCGTTTTTTTCTCCAAACTCGAGCTTATTCTATGTAGGTGCGTCGACTCGCGCGTCCACGCTGGTCGGGGCCGCACCGGTCGTATCGCTGTACGCGTCGACGACCATGATATCCACGGTTCTTCTTTCAGCCGCGACGACGTCGAGCACGAGCTCTACATGGAGGCTGTACGCGCCTCGACAGCTCCTGCCTCCTCTGCGCGCTCTGAAGTGCCGCTGAGCGACCTTATCCGCGAACCGCGCTCCCGTCGCAAAGGTGCGTTTTCCCGCGTCTTATCTTTCGCGCGCTGACGTCGCGACTAGTCGATATCCTCGACGACTTTGAAATCATCCGTCCTACTCGCGCCGTTCTCGCGCTCGACGACGATGGGTTCAATGTTTCAAACCGCCACGTTGGACGGGACGATCTCGAGGACTGGGAGGACGTCGGTCTCGTCTCCGAGGGCAAGGGCCCTGCTAAGCTGGTCGCCACCAGCGCCCGCTCTTACGCCGAGGTTTTGGTGAAGGCATAGATGTATTTTTGTGGTTTCAGTTGGACTCTTTTGCTAGTTGTTCTGCCTTAAGCTGTCTACTTCGTTCCGCGATATAATTAATGCCTAGATCCCCTTAACCTGCCAGTC